ATCGAACATCTATGGGGAATTATAAAGAGACAGGTTGAGCATCACTCTCCATCCAGCATCCAGGCTCCAAAAGAGGTCGTTCTTGAAGAATGGAAACAGATCGATGTTGCAATATATTGCCAGCTTGTTCATTCCATGCCTAGAAGACTTGGTGCTGTCCTTACAAATCATGGAAGTCATACAAAATACTAGATGGAGTAGTTTTTGTTATGGGGTGTATTAGTTTGAGTAAAGCTGAAGATTTTTTAATCTAAGTTATATTATTAACCTTACTTTCATGTAATGAGCTAAACAAATGTACTATAAAACACAGTTTTGTCAAAATTTTGGAAATTGTTAACCTACATATGTAGGTAAAATGCGGCTGTATATAAACAGGTACAACTTATTTAGGAGGATTTCTGTCATCTCTGTGTGTCATCTAAGGCCAGTCCGTTCACTGAGTGAGGGTTTACAGCCACTTTAACCAGTTATGAGTGCACCCAACTGTGGTAGAGGGGTCCCTGCTGAGGGTATGTGCCAGGGGTGAGCCTGAAGTGAAGAGGATGACAAGTCCAGGTCCCGAGCGGGATGGATGGATGACAGTCAGGAGTGAGCGTAGTCAGACTAGCCGGGTCGGTGACAGTGGAGGCAGATAGGTACCAAGCAGAAGACAGAGTAGCTGGGTCACGAGCCAAGGTTCAGCAACGGGAGGTGCAGTAATAATATAGCAACAGGCAGAAGAGTAGTCAGGGACGAGCTGGGGGTCAGAGCAGGAGAAGGTCAACATAATTCAGGACAAGCAGGATCGGCAACAGGAACGTACTTCAGAAACACAGGAACTAGACCATGCGGCAACCTGATCACCGCCTGGCCAGTTTAAATAGTGCGCCCTGCACCGTCATTGGTGCCAGGCGTGCGCGAGTGTGCGCATGCGCGGCCGCAATTGCCGCCGCGGACGCCCAGGTCCCAGTGTCTGCACATTAGTGCGCCTAGGCAATCTGCGCATGCGCAGACCTGTGCGCTGCGGCGAGACCCGCAGTCCCTGACACAGACTCTGCTACTAACTAAGGTGAGGTTGTGGAAGATGGTGTCATGTCACAGATCATACACCATGGCAAGACAGCACAGCAACAAGACACAAGGTAGTTATACTGCATCAGAGGTCTTTCCCAGGTAAAGATTACAAAGCAGACTGGGGTTTGGAGATGTGCTGTTCAAGTTCTTTTGAAGAAGCACAAAGAAACGGGCAACGTTGAGGACCGTAGACACAGTGGTTGGCCAAGGAAACTCAATGCATCAGATGAGAAGACACCTAATGCTTACATCCCTTCGACATCAGAAAAGGTCCAGCAGGGACATCTGCACAGAATTTGCAGAAATAAGTGGGACCCAGGTACACCCATCTAATGTCCAGAGAGGTCAGGCCAGAAATGGTCCTCATGGAAGAATTGTGGCCAAAAAGTCATACTTCTTAATTGTAAACTAGACTAAGCGGCTTAACTATGCACATAAACATAGGAACTGAGGTGCAGAAAAATGGCAGCAGATGCTCTGGAGGGATGAGTCAAAATTTGAAATATTTGTTTGTAGCAAAAAGCAGTTTGTTCGTGAAGGACTGCAGAGCGGTACAATAATGAGTGTCTGCAGACAACAGTGAAACATGGTGAAGGTTCCTTGCAAGTTGGATCAGTCTGGATCAGTGATGTCCTCAATGCTGATAAATACAGGCAGATACATATTCATCATACCATCAGGGAGGCAGGTGATTGGCCCCAAATTTATTCTGTAGCAGGACAATGACCCCAAACATACAGCCAATGTCAATCACTTTCTTCAGTGTAAAGAAAAACAATGAGTCTTGGAAGTGATGTTTTTGCCGCCACAGGCAGCCTACATCCACAGAAGATCTGTGGTTAGTTCACCAAGATGTTTGGAGCAATCTACCTGCCAAGTTCCTTCAAAAACTGTGCAAGAGTACCTAGAAGAATTTGTGTTGTTTTGAAGGCAAAGGGTGGTCACACCAAGTATTGAGTTGCTTTGGATTTCTCATCTGCTTCATTTACTTTCCATTTTGTTCATTGATAAAAATAAACTATGAACACTTCTATTTCAGAAAGCATTCTTAATTTACAGCATTGTTTTTTCACCTGCCTGAATGTTTTTCACAGTAGTGTGTGTGTGTGGTACTAAAACCTATAGTGCAACACACCTAAAAAGTATACACATTAGTGCGAACAAAAACATAAACATCAGTGAAACAATTAAATAATGTCCATAAAGTGTAATATATGGGTGCTAGTGTAAATCACAATGACAATGTGACAAAGGATAGTCCATACAATAAAGAATGTCAGTGATTATGCAAACACAAACAGCAAAGGTGTCCAGCTTCAAAACAGTGCCAGGGGGATCCAGTGAACACTCCACCACCACTATGCATTCACCAGAATGCTACTGGTATAGTAGCAATGATCAATGGTTAATCAGATACAATGTTCACAATCCTTGCCAGAGATCTTCCTAGAGGAAAGCTCACCACACTGAGCCCAAAAGAACGTTTTATAGTGCAGTATTTATTTAAAAAAAAAAAAAAAAAAAAACAACAAAGTAAAAACTTTCCACTTGGAGACCATGTATACATGTGTGAATTCACATACCAAGATGGCTGCCGCTCCGGATTGCGGACGCGATGGCATGATGTCAGCGGGTAGGCTCCATCCAACGCGTTTCGTGCACATGCATGTCCTCAGGGTTCTGACGTCACGCCGCAGTGTCTGCATCCGGAGCGGCGGCCATCTTGATATGTGAATTCACACATGTATACATTGTCCCCATGTGGAAAGTTTTTACTTTGTTATTTTTTTAAATAAATACTACACTATAAAACGTTCTTTTGGGCTCCGTGTGGTGAGCTTTCAAGACTTTAAGAGGGAATTCCAATTTTTCAATGCACATACATATAGGGGTTGATTTTCTAAAGGTAAGTAGACTGTGCACTTTGTAAAAGCAGTTACTCCAGAGCTTAGTAAATGAGGGGAAGCTTCACTTTGCAAAGAATACCAATCATGTGCAAGGTAATAAAAAAACAGCATTTTTGCTTGCACATGATTGGAAGATGGAAGGTAGCAGAGCCTCTGCTCATTTACTAAGCTCTGGGGCATCTGCACCTGCAAAGTTCAAAGTCTATTTGCCTTTAGTAAATCAACCCCTTAGAGCAAATCTTTTATTTTTGTACAAGGACCACAAATACAGGCAGTTTAGAGTACACTGCATCCCAGTGCAGCTATATTGACACCCCCCGCACAAGGTTTCCTTTCTGTTCTGATGTTGCTAGTCTGCTTTTAGTAGGTTGGTACAATGAAACCACTGAAGGCTGCTCTCTGAGTTTCTTGGGGTCAGTTTACCTTGCCTTGAAAAAGTATTCATACCCCTTGAAATTTTACACATTTTATTTTTGTTATAGCCAAAAACATAAATGTATTTTATTGGGATTTTATGTGATAGACACACAAAGTGGCACATAATTGTGAAGTGTAAGGAAAATGATGAATGGTTTTCAACATTTTTTACAAATATCTGAAAAGTGTGACGTGCATTTGTATTCAGCCCCCCTGAGTCAATACTTTTGTAGATCCACTTTTCGCTGCAATTACAGCTGCAAGTTTTTTTTCGGGGATGTCTCTTTGCAGACTCTAACAGGTTTTCTTTTAAGATCGCCTTGTATTTATCTCCACCATCAACTCTGACCAGCTTCCCTGTCCCTGCTGAAGAAAAGCATCCCCACAACATGATGCTGCCACCACCATGTTTCATGGTGGGAGGGTGTGTTCAGGGTGATGTGAAGTTAGTTTTTCCGCCACACATAGCGTTTTGCTTTTAGACCAAAAAGTTCCATTTTGATCTCATCTGACCAAAGCACCTTCTTCCATATGTTTGCTGTGTCCCCCACATGGCTTCTCGCAAACCGCCAACAGGACATCTTATGGCTTTCTTTCAACAATGGCTCTCTTCTTGACACTCTTCCATAAAGGCCAGATTTGTGGAATGCACGACTAATAGTTGTCCTGTGGACAAATTCTTCCACCCGCTGTGGATCTCTGCAGCTCCTCCAAAGTTACCATTGGCCTCTTGGTTGCTTCTCTGATTAATGCTCTCCTTGCCCGGCCTGTCAGTTCAGGTGCACGGCCATGTCTTGGTAGGTTTGCAATTGTGCCATACTCTTTCCATTCTAGGAGGATGGATTGAATAGTGCTCAGTGGCATGTTCAAAGCTTGGGATATTTTTTTTATAACCTTACCCTGCTTTAAACTTCTCCACAGCTTTATCTCTGACCTGTCTCGTGTGTTCCTTATCCTTTCACGATGCTGTTTGTTCACTAATGTTCTCTAACAAACCTCTGAGGGCTTCACAGAACAGCTGTATTTTTATACTGAGAATAAATTACACATACATTTACTAATTGGGTGATTTCTATAGACAATTGGTTCCACTAGATTTTAGTTAGTGGTATCATAGTAAAGAGGACTGAATACAAATGCAAACCACACTTTTTTTCAGATATTTGTAAAACAATTTTGAAAACCATTTATCATTTTCCTTCCACTTCACAATTATGTGCCTCTTTGTGTTGGTCTATCGCAGAGGTCTCCAAACTTTTCAAACAAAGGGCCAGTATACTATCTTTCAGACTTTAGGAAGGCCAGATTAGGGCCAGTGAGGATAGAAAATGTCCAGGCCCCAGCATCAGTGAGAAAAAACATGGCCGCAGGTTTGATGATCAGTAGGAGGAGTAGTGCCCCATCATTGGTATTAGTGGGAAGAATAGTGCCCCATCATTGGTTTCAATGGAAGAAGTACTGCCCCATTGTTGGTCTTAGAGGAATAGTGCCTCAAGGGCACTGTACATGATTGCCCTTTCTTCCATCACACCCTACACCCTTGAATGAGGTGATTCTGAAGCAGTAGGTTTCTTTTCAACAATTTATGCCATAATACAATTTTTTTTTTTTTTCTTCCAGGATTTCCTACTTATGTTCATTCATCATCTGGCCGCAGTTAGCCTCATCTCATTTTCCTATGTCAATAATATGGCGCGAGTGGGGACTCTGGTCCTGTGTTTGCATGACTCTGCTGATTCCTTGCTGGAGGTGAGGTCATGTTAAAGCGACTTCTAAAGGTTCATTTTTTTTTTTTTTTTTTAAATAACAAAACATGTCTATACTTACTGTGTGCAGTGGTTTTGCCCAGAGCAGCCTGGATTCGCCTCTTCTTTGGGTCCCCCGCAGGCTCTCCTGGCTCCTCCTGTCTGTCGGGTGCCCCCCACAGCAAGCAGCTTGCTATGGGTGCACACGCTGCCCATTCACACACGGAGCTGCGGCTTGGCACTGCCCCCTCTCTCCTCATTGGCTGACTGGCTGTGATTGACAGCAGCGGGAGACAAAGGCTCCCGCTTGCTGTCTCAGCCAATGAGGAGGCAGAGACCCGGGACAGCCGAGGCTGTCATTCACATTGTTGGATCACGATGGGGCTCAGGTAAGTATTGAGGGGGCTGGTGGAGCTGCTGCACACAGAAGGTTTTTTAACCTTCATGTATAGAGTGCATGAAGGTAAAAAACCTTCAGCCTTTACAACCACTTTAACTTGCCAATTATTAGGTATTTAAAGGTAATCTCCACTCTCTACCCTGTTTTCTATAATCCAGCTTCATTTACAGTGGGACATATCAAAGTTTTTGCTCCCCCAAAACCTTCACTATATGGCCTGCCTGGTATTGCACAACCTCCTGCTTTAACTTGCTTTGGCACTGTGACCTCCATTACCTTCAGTGCAAATCCCTCTGCAGCCTGACAGGCCGAATAATAGCAGTGAAGGCCATGGCGGGCATGTTCAGGTACCAACCTGAATTTTTTTTGTCCAAAAGCATTGTGGCACAAATCGGGCCATACAGTGAATATCTCAGTATAGCTGGGTTGTAGATGTAATGAATAAAAGTATTAGAAATGTGTAGGGAGAGGGAGTATAAAAGGAAAAGCATACTCTGACCAGAGGACAGGAGCTTGCAAATAATGAACTCTAACCAGTTCCTGTATGAGAGCTCATACTACATAGAACCTTTTAGTCCCGAAGGCAGCACTGTTGAGCTGTGCTCGTATCTGCGTGTTTTAGGTAAGGTGTGATGTATAGGAAAGAGCCCTACTTGCTGCGGTGTGGTTTTCAATAAACATCCATTAAAAGGAGACTCACAATTTGGAAAATTAGAGCACCCTCCTCTGCTCACAAAGCTTAGTATCTTGCTGTCTCCTGAGCAGAGCAGTCTGCACCTGAAATATGCTGAGGAAATGAAAAGCCATCACTTGCTGATTACATTGCTGTATTTAAATGTTTATTCCATAGTACAACCTCAGCAGTAGTCCTGGTCTAAAGACCGCTTTCTCTAACAGGGCTTAGCCGTAGAGATGAACCTAACCTTAACCTAACAAGCCCCCTTCATACCTCTGGGGGCTAAGATTTCCCTCCATACAGCCCCACAGGCCTCTTCTTACCACTTCTTTTACACTTTCATATTTCTATAATGTGTAATGCTTTAAGGACTTCTCTAGCTGACCGTTCTGTGAAACATTCAGTCTGTTCTGTAATGGGATGTTATGTATGTTCCTTTTCTTTCCCTGTTATGTAAAGGATAAAAACCTATAAATAAAAAATACATGAATAAACCCTATTGGTTGAAATATGTTAGAGGGAGGTAGTCTTCAGATGGGAACTACTGCTGTTGTGGAATAAAATGGTGCATACGATGGCATCACCGGTGTGTTATTTCTTCATTTTCTCAGAAGAACATGAAACACTCAGTGAGCATAGAGTACAATGCACCCGTAACACACCTTAAACTCAAAGATATAAACAAGGGCTTTGTGAAGGAAAAGTGACAAATATGTGCTTTTTTCCATCAGCGCTGTGTTTTCACTTGTCAGAGCTAATGAAAAGCTACAATAATTTTCCACTACATCACTGCCCATACTAACCGTGCTGTCTCTGGGATTTTTAAGCTCTATAGACCATCCACTGCCTCATTACACAAGGACTCATACATGATGTCAACAAAATAAATTCAAGAAAAAAAAGTTTGTCTTTGAACAATAAAGTTTATCAAGTTTTACAATAAAGGTATAGGTCTGACATGCATAAGCATTCAAGACAACGTTGTAGGACCCTTTGAATAGAATCCTAAGGAAAACGAAAACACTTATGTTGATGAGATGCTTATGATCTATCGCTACACTTTTATTGTGTAATAATGTCATTCATTTTGGCAGTTTAACTAAAATAAATGTATTTTTATATACAACTAGCATAAGTATGAATCTGTCCTTATCGGATTTCTGTCATCCTCACACAACACACAGGCTGGGGAGCCAATCAAGCTCAGCTGCATGCACATGTGAGCAGAATCAATTACTTACCACTGTGTTGCTTCTTCAATAGCCAGTTAGTAGATTGCAGGCAGTGAGGTGACAGCACCGTATTCCTTAACTGTAAGAATGTGATGTCGCCTTTCTGGCTGTGTTGTCTGGCAGAGGTAAATGAATCACAAAAGTGGCTGGCCAGACACATATGCATATTCAGCAGTTTGCCCAGAGTTGTTCCGGAAGTGTGTGTCTCTGTCTGTCTGTCTCTTTTAGACTTGATAAAGGGGTATAATAACCCGGGAAATGTCAGTTTCAGCCTCTCCTCCCTGATTACAGCTGTCCACTGCTTTAAAACATCTCATTAGTTTTGTGTTCTGCTATTGTACGTTTTTCGCATTCATTCTTTCCATTTTGTTTTATATTTGTTTAGCTGCTAGCCTTCTCTGTTCCCCCGTATAGTTCAGGAGCAGTGATGATGGAAACTTGTGTTTTACATTCTATTCTCTAGACTTTGTATCTGTTTCTTGTACTTCTACGTATATTAGGCCTCTTGCACAATTCAGCTTGAAAAAGTTTAGAACATCATTTTTTTGTGTGTTGTTGTTTTATTTTGTTTTTTTTTTTTTTTTTTTTAACTAATCAGCCCATTTTTTACAATGTGCCTGTACACACAGGTAGGTAAACATGCACTGCATATTCTTGAGTAAAAAAAGAAAGGAAAAATTTGCATTCCTGCGCAGTATTTTGTGTCAGTGCATGCAAATGAGCATAAATATTCATGTTTTTTTGCCTAGGAATGTATTGTATGCACAAATATGGGCAAAAAACAAACACCTTAAATTACACCCAGAAATGCTGATGCTCAAACATCAGAACCATGTGCAAAAAGCCTTAGACTTTTGTGTACACGATTTATAGGACATGAATTTGACAAAATATATGCATATTTAAAATTTCAATGCTGTTTGATGTGTTGACTTTTTTGCTTATCACCTTTTAAAGGAAACGTTTAAGCTACTCTCCCAGTTTATGTTGAATTAAAATCAACTTTTTATCATTTTTATTTAGATAGATTAGAGAAGAATTGGGGAGATTATCCCTCTGTTGGGGAGATTATCTCTTCCTTCCTGTTTCTGTGATACCCATTCAATAAATGGTTGGTGTGAGAGTCACAGGAACTAAAATACAGTATATAGGCAGCAGTAAAAAAAAAAAAAAATTAAGAGTCCTTCCTTTTCTCCACACTGCTACTTGTGTGCTGACCATGTCACATAAAGGTTTGCACTGAGTATCTGTGTCACTGCAGCCAGAATTTTGAGATATGCCATGGGTCAGTTCAGCTCTTCTGAGGTGTTAAGGAAATGGAGATTGATGCAATAAATGCGCTGAAGAAGAACTTATTGAAGCTGATCTCCAGGTTTCATCTAAGAGGCAGAAAGGTGGGCTGATGATGTCATGAACTTTGCCTCAGCCAATAAGAGGAAGCTTTGTTATGATTAAGTGCTAGTAAGTGAAACTCGTCAACGATTTCTCCCCTACTGCTGTTTTTGCTTTTATGAAAATTTAGCAGTAAAGATGGTTATCAGTGCAGCTGTCCAGAAGTTTTTTTTGGTTTTTTTTTCTACATAAATAATTTGTTTGGACTAGTTTGATCCAAAGTTAAATGAAATATGGGGGATCAGCTTTAAGGGCTGGTTCATACCAAAACGCAGTGTGAGAGAGGAGTGCTGCCCCTGCAATCTGCATGTAGGAGCTAATGAATTGTTAGTGGCACTCCAAACGCAGATTGCAAACGCAGTGCATTTGTGAACACCAAATCACATGGTACTTCAGTTCCATGTGGTTTGGTGCAGTACACTTTAAAAAAGTAATGCTTGCATTACTTATTTCCATGATTCAATGTGTTTTGCAGTCCATTCAAATGAATGGGCTTTCAGAGTGCACTGCATAGCAATTCTGTCACAACGGCATATTTTGGTATGAACTGGCCTTGATCACTGACAGGTCAGTCAATATAAAGGAGATGTGAATTGATTTTTTAGTGATCATTTTCTTTATGAATCTGATGTTTAACACTGGCAGTTGACATTAATGCTCCATTGTGGTTTGCATTAAGCTATTAATATAAAAAGGAGCACCAATAAAACCCAATCTGTGTTTTGCAGTTTTGGTTTGCAGAGCAGTTTGCTTATATTTGGATGCGTTTTTCCTACGCCTCATGGATGTCATAATTATTACAGTAAACTGAATGAAGAATGTCACGGTGATATGCCTAGCATGGTTTTCATAACATGTTGTCCTTTATGTATTCCATAACTTAATGGTGCTCTTTTCTTTTTCTTTTCTTTTAAAGGCAGCAAAAATGACAAATTATGCAAAGTACCAGAGGTTGTGTGACACTTTTTTTATGTTGTTTGGGCTGATGTTTGTCATCACGCGTCTTGTCATTTATCCAACATGGTAAGAGCTGTATAAATTCTCTTTATTTGTGTTTAATGTAGTATTTACAGTGTTAGTTGTGGTGATTTGTGAAGTTATGTATGTTTGTTTGTGGTTAGTTCTCCTGCATAGTACTTAAAGTAGTTCTAAAGGCAGGACTTTTTTTATTTACCTTAACACATTCCCTGCATTAAGGTAAAAAATTTCTCATTGTATCGCCCCCTCGCTTACTTAAATACTTACCTGAGTCCTATCTCGATCCATTGTTGTGCCTAAGTTCAGCAGCACTGCCCTCTTTCTCTCCTCACAGGACTCACTGAAAGCGGCAGGGGCCATTTGCTCCTGTCAATCAAATCCTGTGAGGAGGGAGTGGGGGGGCGTGGCTGAGCCACGCTGTGTGTCAATAGATGCGCACATCCTGGCTTGGGAATGAGCCCACAGGTATGCCCCCCCTAGGAAGTGGTTTCCAATGGTGGTACACCAAGAAGAGGAGGAGCCGAGAGATCTGGGCCGCTTTGTGCAATACCATTGCACAGAGCAGGTAAGAGAGATCTGGTGTTGGATGCAAGAAGAGGGAGTTCAGGGCCACTTTATGCAATACCATTGCACAGAGCAGGTAAGTATAACATCTTTATTTTATTTTTTTTTAAAAAGCTTTGCAGTTACTTTAATTTGCTTTAACTTGAGGTGGTTATTAGCAGTGTCTGTTCAATCATTATTCCTTGAGGTGAGTTCTCCATTAGACCCGTTATGACCTGATTGCTGTCTTTCCCCCATTCTTATTGATTTCATCCAGCCTTACTGTTCTGGGTGGCCAGTGTTAGACTGAGCCCTCATGCTCTGGATTGCCCTGTTTTACTTTGCTCCCTTAATCATCCACCTTGATCAATCTTTAGTTAACCTTGTTAATATGAGCAGCCCATTTTAGAGAAGTGCACAGCTGCCTATTTCCTCTAGTGTAGCATTTATATATCTTTCATACAATCTTTCGATGCTGCATCCACCTAATTGAGTAGAAATGTTTTTTGTTTTTTTTAAGTCCATACTTGTTTAATGTTGAATAATGTAAAGTAATGCACATGAGGCTAAAAATATGAATGTAATTTACTTGCTAGGGGCAGACCCTCTGGGGGAAATTTAGGATGCATAAGGATTTGGGAGTCCTAGTAGATCACAGGCTCAGTGATAGCATGCAATTCCAGCCTCCCTGGAGAAGAGACACATAAGAGGAGGTATGATAGTGATATACGAATATCTCAGTGGTGATTCTAGCATAGTGGGAAAACTTTTCATTCTCTCTTCAAATTTCTCAAGAGGAAACGTGGCCTCTTCATGAAGTTGGATGAGAAACAGTTTAACCTTAAACTGTGTAATAGGTTCTTTACTGTCAGAATGGTAAGTATGTGGAACTCCCTTCCACAGTTGGTGGTGTCAGTGGGGAGTGTCGACCATTTAGTTTAAAAAAAACTTTTAGATGGGCTGAAGCGAATGGACTGGTGTATTTTTTTTCATCCTTACCAACTATGTAACTGGTTCTGATAGGTGTCAGAACACACAGTGCATCTCAATTTGTTGCGTATTGGACTGTGTAGCCGGTCAAGATGCCCATGCTAACGCATGTCCACAGCCAAAAGTACCTACAATGAGCATGCGAGCATCAGAACTGGACCACGAAGCAATGGAAGAAGATGGCCTGGTCTGATGAATCACATTTTCTCATACGTCATGTGCATTACCTGGGGAAGAGATGGCACCTGGATGCACTGTGGGAAGAAGGCAAACCGGTGGAGTCTTAAAGGATCTGCTACTGATGGTGGAATGCATGGTGCAGAGTCTAGTCTCTGAAGACTCTTGTGGGGGCATGCCCACTGCGAGGGCGAAGCCAGGAATGGGTTGTATCCCCATGATTTCTGCAGCTGAGTGGTAAGTCAGGGCAGAAGCTGTTTACCACAGCATACCTTTAGAGTTCTAGTGGTCCATGCCTCAAAGGATCAGGGCTGTTTTGGTGGCAAAAGGGGACCTACTTGATATTAGATAGGTGGCCATAATGTTATGGCTGAGAGGTGTATATTGCTCATATTTTACCTGTAGTATCATACATGTGTTTGACATGCTTCTGATATTGCTGATACAAGGGGTCCACAAGCACTGTGGTGCCAGTGAACATCCACAATATTTATCGTTGCACATAATTGTGTTTATTAGTTTTATAAAAGGTCTTTCCTGATTGTACAATACAGGACACAAGCTTCTTTAAATCCTTACCACTGGGTTATATGCAGCTGCCTTCAGGTGACATTGGCAATAAAAAGCTAATGCGATCCCCCATATAACCCCCCTCCTCTCCAGCTAACACCCCCCCCCCCATTTTTTGTTTGTGTCTTTAGGTGATGGACTTCTTCTCTCTACTGAGAGTTTTGTTGCTTTTACGGATTTTTTTCTTCTCTTGGATCTTTTGAATGGTAATTCTTCTATGAAGACTTGAGTGTGCCATAGCCCCTGCAGGTATCTGGATTGGTTGACTCCACGGCAGAGCGTTGGGTAACTGTATCCAGACCCCAACACATGGAAGACATGGGACCAACCTATAATGTTGCTGCAGCAATTGTATCTGCTATGGGTGTTCTGTTTGCCATGTATTGCAGTGTGTGGAGTTAGCCACAGGATGTTTTACAGGGCCAGAGCCATGGTCTGCCTGGTGCAAAGCCTAGTCCCTGAAAACTTCTGTGGGGGGCCAGGAAGGGGTTGAATCTGCCCATTTTGTGCAGCTGAGTGGTAAGTCAACGGGCCGGTGTAGTGATATGTTATCGGCAGTGTCCCGTGAACACAGCTGGTGACAGATCGCACCGCTGTGCAGTAGCGTGAGCGGCTCATTTTGACAGGACTTCCCCCATCCTCCGGAACTCACTACCCCAATCCATCAGACTGTCACCTACCCTCCTCACCTTTAGGCGCACCCTGAAAACCCATCTCTTTAGGGAAGCCTACCCCGCCCTCACCTATTAGCCGATCTCCTCCACTCCTCCTACCACTCCATCCATCACAGCCACTTCCTCCTGTACCACTATCCCCTCCCTCCTAGATTGTAAGCTTGAAAGAGCAGGGACCTTGAACCCCTTGTGTTTTGTTTTGTTACTGTATTGTCTTATGTTCTGTCCCCCCACTATAATGTACAGCGCTGAGCAAACCTTTTAGCGTTATATAAATACTGTATAATAAAAATATAACAGTAACAACGGCGAGTGTCCCTCCAGGCCATCAATCTGCTATCGGCTGGGTGGGAAGGTGTTAAAGTGGTAGCAAAGTCACTTTGTATATTTTTATCTACAGGTAAGGTTATACTTAGTGAACAATGGCATGTGGTCTACAGTAGTCATGGAAGAGTAGGACATGGTCTACAGTAGACACTGAAGACTAAGTCGTGGCCTACAGTAGACGCTGAAGAGTAAGAAGTGGCCTACAGTACTCCTTGAACAGTAGTATGTATAATTCAGTAGTCACTGAACAGAAGGATATTCTCTACAGTAGGCACTGAAGAACTGTACAGTATAGTGGTGTTTTAAAAAATACATCAAGGATATCAAAGGGGGTAAGATTACTCTCCATCACAAGAATTAAAAAAAAGCTTGCATTTCTACCAGTAGGCCTTCCACTCCTGATGTTATGGTCGGTTTTTTTCAGTACTCTTAACTTCCATGCTAAGTCTAAAGCCAGATGTACACTAGGTTTAAAAATTAACATTTGTCCAAAAATTCTCAGTACATTCGATGACTTCACAAACATCATTCATCGATAAATGAAATACTTGAAGATTTTGTTTTCAGTTTGTGCACCCCCACTGCAAGGGATAATTTTATATTTTTCCAGAGTTGGGCTTTAACATTAAATTTTTGAGTGACTGAACTTTCCTAAATTTATCCATACTGCTTCTTTTAATTTTCTTGTGACTGTGGTAGAAAACTGTCAGTTTGACCCCATTAACAATTGGAATATCAAACAAATATTCTTTAGAATGAAAAACTGATTTAAATTATACTTGTGTATGGCCAGCTTAAGACGGGAATATTCTCTCAAGTAGATATGGCCCTCCAAGCCAGCTAAATCTGGTGCCAAGCCCCCTTCTCAATAATGGAACACCTACACTTTCTAGCCTTAACACGTTTTGCACCTGTGGGTTCAGAGTGTCATTTCCCAGGGCTAGAAATTGGAGTTTCACGCTCCTACTCCCTCTCAATTCTTCTCAACCAAGCCCTGTTTCCCATCTCAGCTGGTGGGTTTCCTGACTGCAGTGCAACAGCTTTTGTCCCAGGGAGTTGTCACCCCCAGTTTCTACAGCAGAACGTTTTCAAACCTTGTTACAGTCCCAAGACCCAATAAGGAAATGTGATCTAGACCTATAAGTTCTAACTTGCTCCTATGGCTACAAAAGTTTTGCATGGTAAATGCCATGTAGGTCTTTGCCTTCCTAATTGCTGGGCATTTTCTAGCTTCTGTAGACATCAAGGATGTCTACCTGTTCATTCCTATTTTTCCTCAACACCAAAACTCCAGTTTGCTATAGGTGACCAGCACTGCCAGTTTGTTGCCATTCCATCTGTATATAGCCCCTAGGCTTTCACCAAGATGCTTGTTCTGGTTATGGCTCTTCATTGTCCTCAAAGGGTTCATGTTGTGGGGTATCTGGATGATTGTCTGCTGAAGGACCAGATGCTCCAATCACTAAAGAGTTTCGGGTGGATTCTCAATCTGAGAAAGTCATTGCTGGATCCACTTCTCAGGTTGGAGTATCTGGGCCTACCTCTAGACACGGCGCTGTGCAGTTTTTTTTCTGCCCTGGGACACACTTCTATCTCTTCACTCTTGCACCCGGAATATCTGGGCTTAGAAGAAATACTCGATTAGTGACTGCATGAGGGTTCTGAGTCTCACAGTTGTCTCCTTCGAGGCTGTGTTATATGCTTAACTCTACCCCATACAGTTGCAACTCAACATTCTAGCAGCATGGAACAAAAGACTTGGTCGCCACGTGGCCTCACGCATCTGACCCCTTTACCAAATTCTCCTTAGTGTGGTGAATTTACAAACTAACTCTGGAGTTAGGGAAAACCTTTCCTTCTCAGTCATGTAAAGTTGTATTGATGGATGCCAGCTTGTTGGACTGGGGTACAGTCCTGCTCATCATCTCAGTACAGGAGACATGATTGTTGGAAAAAGCTTGCATCCCTATCTACATTCTGAAACTCTTACGAATTCTTTTTGCCCCTTCAAGGCTGGACTACTCTCCTACAAGTACACCCTACGAGAACCTATTTGGACAGTGCCACAAAAGTGGCCTATATCAATAATCGAGGAGATACTAGGAGTCATGCAGCTCAAACGGAAGTAGACTGAATCCTCTCCTTTGACAGAACTTCATGATCTGACCCTGTCCAACATTCACATGCCAGTCATCAGAGTTTGAATCTGGGGTAATGGGCACTCCATTTTAGAAGTCTTTAAAGCCCTTTTCCACAGATGGGCTTCTAGTGATTCTCATTGCATCAAATTAGCCCAGGAGGGCTATTACTCAGACGTACTTAGACTTCTGGCAGATCCTCTGTGAGCACTTCCAAGCTTTTTATTTGTAACCTGTCTGATGAATTCACGGTCCTGAAGGACAGGGCTTCTCAGATTCTGTTATCCCTTCCCTGAGGCTAACTGGGAGTGGGATGAGTTATTTGTGGCATGTCCCAGCAGTTTTGCCACTGTCCAGACACCTGAAGGTAGCTCCATATAACCTGGTGGTAAGGATTTAAAGAAGCCGATGTCTTGTAATGTACTACAGGAAATGAATATTACTGGTAAGTCAAAAATTCTATTTTACCTAGTCTAAGTTATTACTATAATTTTGCTGTAAAATGTCCTAATTCACTAAAGACATTTTGCATTCCATATAATGGATACAAAAACGTTTTAGGTAATACACTGACTTTTTGGTTTTTTTTTTTTTTCATCACAGGGTCTTAAACACAACATTGTTTGAGAGTTGGGAGCTGATTGGTCCATACCCGTCTTGGTGGCTGTTTAATGGTATCCTTTTAATCCTCCAAGTTCTCCACATCATCTGGTCTTGGCTCATTATTCGTGTAGCGTACAGATCACTGACAAAGGGAAAGGTGTGTCTACTACTTTGTCCTTCTTGGAGAATGTGGGGCAACTTTAAGATGATTTTTTTATGTTTGGCTCTCTTGGCTTCATCCATTTTGGTGTTTTGAGGTTCTTATCGCCTTGCATTTCCAGATCTGATGATACTACTGCTTATTTACCTGTGCTCTGCCCTGACAAGGCGACCTTGTCAGGAGGGGGGTCTTTTGATGTCTTTGCACTCCCTGCCTTACTCTCTTTCCCTCCTTTTTCTCCGTGTCAGGTTGGAACTGGAAAGTGTCACCCTTTGCCTGTAAGTTTTCTCTGTGCTGCTTCCGAATTCTTTATACCACCTTCCTGCCTGCTGTCCCTGTACCCTTCTGCATGTTCATTTCTTTCATCCAGTACCAGATCCAGGAAACTAAATCGCATGTCCAAATAATACATCTAATGATGGGTCTTGGGCATCATCCTATCAGCTCTAACACTCTTAAACGGACATTACCCAGTACATTTTAGAAAGGTTTGTTTAACACAGATCTTCCAGAATATAAAGTGTACCTGTCAGTTACCTGTAATGGCTGTTGGCCTGATAATGCAGATTTTATATATATATATATATATATATATATATATATATATATATATCTATCTATCAGAATACAGCTAAGCTGCAGAAATTCTCTCACATTTAGACAGGAAGCAAAGTGTTTTTTCAGCTGTGCAGGCAGCCAATCAGCTTCTTTCCTCAGCTTTTTCAGTTAAGCTTTAAAAATGAAAGATAGAAGTGACTGGTTGCCATGCACAGATTCTGGCTTCTCCAATTTTGATAAGTGCCCCTTCATAAATCAACATGACAGAGTGGGCAAAAAGCCTTTTGAGTAAAAAAAAAAAAAAAAAAAAAAAGGCCAGCAGTGGGCAGCTTTTCTTTCTCTGCACAGGTCTCCTTTAAAGTGTATATAAACCCTAAATCTATTTTTGTTTGGTTTCCTGCCTCACTGTATACAGATTTTTTAAAGTTGAATTCCAGGATTCTCTCCGCTGGCCCAATGAAACTGCAGCAAAATTTTATCAGAAAAGGGCTTGCTTTTTGAGATCTCTGTGACGGTATAACTTTTTGTGATGTCATAGATGAAATCGCTCTGCTTCTGAGCACCAGGAAGAGCACTTTAGATATAGCCGCACATCACATTCACGCCGCTATAGAAAACTACATTTCCCTTTATACTAAGGGAAATGATGAGCGCATGTGTGGGCAGAGCTGAGGGCAGAACTGAAGGCTGTGAGTGTGTCTGCAAATGGAGTTGAGGGACGGATGGAGATAAAGTGTGTGGCAAAGACGGGTAGTTTGATACTGCCGGGTCCACCCACTATGGCGAGTTGGGTGTATTTACGTCACCGCTCGCTGTTTAAAGTACGGCAGTGGGGAAATTACAAGACTGGTGGCGAAGGGGATAGATAGAATAGTGTTCTTCTGGAATTCAAGGGGAAGGAGCACTGAGTGAGGGTGGGAGGACTACAGCCGCTTCTGATCACCTAGGTGATATCAGTGGGAGCGGGTACCTGGCAAAATAGCAGCATCCATCTCAGCTCACACTGGCATACAAGCCTCCAGCTGACAGCTCTGATTAGTGGATTACACAGGCTGTAGCTGCTGCATATAGGAATCTCTACTACTCTGCTTTTACCTAGTAAATACTTATAAAACTACAAAAACCAAGTGTTTTGAAGAAGTCAATCACTAATGTAACCTGTAGGGTAGAGCCTTCATAATTTTGTGAGTGGTGGGAACGCCTTCTTGTACAGCGGTAGTAGTTTTTACAAGCCCGGCACTCTGAGCTGTCAAGACTTCAGGGCCTGAAGTTGGTTGTGGTGTGTTCAAAGCATACTTATTTTTTAGTTTTATGAGTATTTACTAGGGATGAGCAGGGTGGTAGAGATCCCTGTATGCAGCAGCTGCAGCCTGTGTGAACTGGTATTCAGAGCTGTCAGCTGGAGGCTTGTATGCCAGTGTGAGCTGAGATGTATGCTGCTATTTGTTAATTTTGCTGTATGCACACCTTACTGCTCTGATAAGTGTTTTGTGGATTTTAACAAAAATACCTAAATTTTATGCAGAGTACACTACTATTGTGGTTTTTTTTTTTTTAATATATGTCATGATCTAAAGCTATCTAGAACATTGCTCCAAGCTATATCACCAACTTCATCTGCAGATATCGCCCAAATCGTCTTCTCGGCTGCTCCCAAGACATCTTGGTCTCTAGCTCCTTTGTTACTGCCTCTCTCGCCTTCAGGACTTTTCTAGAGCCTCTTCCCTCCTCTGGAACTCCCGTACCACAGTATGTCCGGTCAGCTCCTACCCTGTCCACCTTTAGGGAATCTTGAAAACTATTTTTTTTTCCAGGGAAGCCCACTCCACCTAAAAAGCTATACTTGAGTCACCTCCAGCGTTTATTCATATAGTTATAAGACCTTTTCCCAAAAGAAAAAAAAAACGTTATTAATCATAGTGTCCTGGACACAGGGCATATATTCATAGACCAGGGATTATATGGAGGCTACCTTCGGGTGACTGGACTAGTGTCTTTAAGTGATGGTCCTCCTCTCCTATGGAGAAGGTGTTTTTGTTTTTTTTTTTTTTTTTTTCGTCTGACACTTCAAAAGACACACATTTAGGATCTGACTACTTATTGCCCTCAGTGTGATACGTTTGGACCACACTGTGCCGGACTGGCCAGTTATGTTTGCTATAGGTACTGCTCCCCTTGGCACAAAGTACATTGAGTGTATTTAGCTGCAGGGTGCTATATAGGTCCAGGGCTGTGGTCCATCTCTGTTTCTCAGACCCTGAAGACCCCTATGGGGGTCAGGTGACAGGTGAAGATGGGACCTTACGGGTCCCATCAGCTTGGATAAGGTTGCCTTCCTGGTGGCCATTATGTTTGCTAGGCAAATTTTTTGAGCTTGCAGTACTTTCTTGAAAGAACTTTCTTGTATTACATAGGGACAAGGTGGTCTCTCCTTTCCGCCTCAGTAATGATATTATTTTCCCTTCCTTCGATCCTGCTCCAAAACATGCCAGGGAATTTTCCCAGCACTGTTGGATGTTGTCAGTGGCTACCTAGCAGCCACAGTTTAACAAAACCACATCCTTTTTGTCCCACATACAGACTTATACAGCACATCCTGCCTTTGCTCCACCATTGCCCAGTGGATCAAACAACTTATTTCCAGTGCCTACGCCTTTACGGAAAGGTGTTCCTCGATTCTCTATCACAGTTCATTACAAAAGGTTTGTTGGTGTCTCTTGGTCTTTCCAGCATCAAGCATCTCTCCTAGATTTGCAAGGCTGCCACCAGGTTCTCTATTCACACAATGTATGTTTAGGCCTCAGCTAATGCAAGATTCAGCCATAAGATGCCTAAGGTTGTCTTCTGAATGCTTTTGGATTTTTTTAACCATTGTTTGTTGTGTGCCTGTTAGCAGTTTTGTTTGCTATGTTGTTGTCCACCAGTTTGTTTTGGGATATCCCATGATATATGAGCACAAGCTGGTTGTCCCATACTGTACAATTAAAATTATGGGAATTTTAACCTGTATATTCCTGATCTTGGAGTGCAGTACAGGACACGGGCTCCTCCACTCTGACTTCTGTGATCATTCCTTATTGCTGGCATAAAAACTGGAATGTTTATGGAGTTGCTGGGGGATATATAACACTGCACTAGGAGTGGCTCTAGAAAACATTTTGCTGGCTTCCATCCACCTTAAGGTAGCCTGCATTTAACTCATGGTCTTTGAGTACAAGCACTTTGTTCTGTATTGTACTCCAAGATGAGGAATTATTGGGCAAGTCAAAATTCCCATTTTCTAGAAAGACTTAACACTTTTGCTACCACCATTTTTCCCGTTTTAGCATTTTTCCAACACATTAAAATGCATTTTCTAGGCTTGAAGTTTGGGTAAAATATCTTCCCGTTTATACAGTATATTTTCTTAAAGCAGATTTTTTATTTAATGTGTATCGTCAATATAACACTATCCTCTTCACAATTCTGCTGTCCAGGGGTGAGATATGTTGCTCCTCTATAGATACAGTGGAGAAGTGAGCATAGCCACTGTAAAACAGAAGGCATAACTGGTTGGATCACAAAGGAAAATAAATACAGTCAGATCAAAGGAATTTAAAGGTGCAATATATTACATTTTTTATTCGGGGCTTAGATGCGCTTTAGGAAAACTGTATACAATTGAACTTGCCAAACTTGAAAAATAGATTTGGAGGTTTACATACATTTTGAAGGGCTAGTGATGAATTGCGGTTCCAGGAAAATCATGCTCACATTCTAATTGTTTCATTTAGTTCTCGGCATGGGGCTTTCACTGCTGAAAACATACCGGCATTCCCCATAATCTGAACTTGTACATTGTCTACAGCTGTTTGTATTGGCATCCATCCATATTGTGGATGTCATCAGTTCAGTACTCCAGTATGCCATGTTGCTGTGGTCTGGTAGTGATATCTAGTGAATGCAATCCTAGCACATACCGTTACATAACTCAGTTTGGAGACGTCAGGCTACTGTAGTGCTCCCAAATAATATGGGGCCTCCTTCACATTGGTGTATGTTAGTGTACACCAGTGCAAGGGCTGTGTTTTTCCTGCACTGGATGCATAGGTGTTAATTGCACCCACATGCAAGCAGTCTTATTCATGTCAGTTAAGACACCGCTGCTGCACAGGCACTGCTCCCAATTTGACATCCGTGTAGGACCTCGAAACAGACAGTGTGAGTTCGGAGACCCGCACCCACACAGATGTCAAACTAAGAGCAGCAGCTGTTTCCCTGAAGCTGTTGTGTCCCCAATTACATGAATGGGACTGCCTGCCTGCAGAAGCACGGATCACCTGTGCATCACATGCAGGCAAAACATGGCTCTCACACGGGTCTACACATAAGTACACCCATTTGAACGAGTCTGTTGGCTTTTAGTTCTCAATGAACTACCACAGTGCTGTGGAGCACCATGGCAGTTTGATTCTTCCTATTAGTATATCTGCTTGTCTGTACAATCCTGCACAGGCAAGCAGATATACTGAAAAGGATTGCAGGAAACCTGCGTGGCA